TTTGTATGAATTGTAATTTATGATTATGAGTAATATGTGATTACGTGTTTCGATTTTATTGAATGATGAACAAGCATGTTTCGTAATTTTCGGTTTTACGTGTTTTTCAATTAAATCGATAATTACCATATGTATGGCGGAAGCGTTAAGGTACGTTGACTATGTGATTAGTTTATGCATGTAATCGAAACTAGTTCGATCTAAAAATTTTAAATTCCGCTGCGTATACATGCACGATCCCCAACATAGGGATGGGTTAGAAGAACAACATGTATCTGTTGTCAAAATCAGAAATGCAGTGAGGTTTGTCAGGTCCTCTCCTGCTAGAGAGACGAAATTCAGAGAGTGTGTCGAGAGGGAAAAGATAGCTTATACAAAGAAAGTCTGTTTGGATGTCGAAACAAGGTGGAATTCCACATATCTAATGTTGGAAACTGCAGAGAAGTATGTTGATGCTTTCGAAAGACTTCAATCATTGGATTACAACTATAAAGAATATTTTCAAGCTGATTTTGATGATGAGGAGTCGAATGCAAGAAAGCGAAAGAGAAAAAAAGAAAGAAATTTGGGACCTCCTACCAAGAGTGATTGGGCGAGAGCCAGAAATTTTATGAAGTACCTGAAGATTTTCTACGACGTGACTAATTTGATTTCTGGGAACAAATATGTAACTTCAAAGTTGTTTTTCAAAGAACTCGTGGCAATGCGTGCAGGCATTTCAAAAATGTGCTTGAGCTCGGATAAGGAAGAAAGGGAAATGGCCATCTCTATGAGAACAAAATATGACAAGTATTGGGATAATATTGATAAGTTCAATTTGTTGTTGTATGTGGCTGTGGTGTTAGATCCCCGCGATAAAATGCGTTATCTTGATTTCTGTTTAGGGCAGACTTATGGGGCAGGTTCTCCGAAATCCAAGGAAGTAAGTGAAAGGGTTCGTTCAGTTTTGAATGAATTATTTGATCACTACAAAATGAAAGTCGACAAGGTGAATGGTAAAACATCTTCGTCTTTGGGTTGTGCTGTTTCTGAGGATAAAACTGGTGATATGAAAACTGATTTGGAATCAAGTTATTTGAAATTCTTGGAGGGTGAAGGAAATATCGAAAAGTCCGAGGTTGAAGTGTACTTGTCTGATGGAATGGAAAAGAGAGATGAAAAGTTCGATATTCTTAATTGGTGGAAAATGAATTCCGTAAAGTTCCCAATACTTTCTCAAATTGATCGACATGTGTTAGCAATGCCAATATCCACTGTGGCATCGGAATCGGCATTTAGCATCGGCGGTAGGGTTATTGATCCATTTAGGAGTTCTCTTAGTCCTCAGACGGCCGAATCTCTTATTTGTGCTCAAGATTGGATCCGATCTTCGCCGACTGACATTGAACTGTCCGATGCAAAACCAAAAAGCAAGGATATAGGAGATTTGCAAGAAAAATTGGAAAAACTTGAGATAGGTACAAGCTTATAATATATTTTTTTTCTATATTTTAATTTAATTACCTCGGATATTGTTCTAGTGTTATGTTTAATTTCTAAATGCTAACTTACTTTTTACTTGCGTAATTTTTAGATGCATTTTCAAGTGGATCGAAGTTCTTCACTATGCAAGATTCATGTCTTTAAAACGGTAATGTTGTTTATCTAAATATAATTTCTATGTTTTATACAATACATACATTATAAATATATATATATATATATATATATATATATATATATATATATATATATATATATATGTATTTTGCAGATTGGATAAACAATCGGGAGATTTTTCAACTTTCATGAAGACGTGGGGGAGTTGGTGTCTTGGTGATTATATCTTTTGTTTTTTGCAGTTTTTGTTAACTCTCCTAAACGATCTTAAGAAGTATTACAACTTTGGTCTTTGGATTTATGTTTTAAACTCATTTCTCGGTGTACTGAATCTTTTGGTGATTTGGTTACTTTCTGCCTGCGCGTTTTTTCTTTACTTTTTGGATGATGAAATGTTGTTGTTTTTTTCCTTTCTGTTGTGATGTTGTGGTGCTGAACTTTTGATTGTTGTTTCTTTTCTTAAATTTTTTTTAATGCTGTGATATGATTTTTTTGTGTATTTTTTGATTTTGTCCTGAATTTTGGGCTTTTTATTTTGACTCTTTTGGGCTTTGGTTGATTCAAAATGGGCTGAATTATTTTTAGCATATTTTGGGCTTGTTTAAATTTATTTTAGAGAGAAAAAAAGGGCTGAAAACCGACCCGAAAACCGGAACCGTTAAGAAACCGAACCGAAAATTTAGGAACCGAAAAAAAAAAACCGAAACCGAAAAACCGACTAGAACCGAACCGACATGAACCGACCGGTTTGGTTTTTGGTTCTTCGTGAACCGACCATTTCGGTTCCAGGTTCGGTTTGAGGCTAAAACCGACCCGATTCGAGCCGATCTCACCCTTACCACCAGGGACGGAGGAAATTTGGGTGGTGTTCATGGAAAAGATAGAAAAAGAAAGATATTAGAGTACCACCACCGGAGGAGGGAGGAAATTGGTTTGGTGGTCACCGCCATGGAAGGAGGGCGGCTAGGTTATAAACCTGGTGCTCTGATACCATATAGGAAGAATAGAATTGGAGAAGGAGATAAATAATACGTAATAGAAACCCCCATTATGTTATGGGTTGATTTACATAGAATATATGTAGAGAAATATTGCAACGTAATAGAGTTTAACTAGGTAACTAAATCATAACTAATCTAGGTAATTCAATCATACTAGAATTATAATATTAGAAGAATTCTATAATATCAAATAATATAATATACTATAACATAAGCAATTTCTCCTTCTTCTTTTTTTGTTGAACAGAGAAGGGATGATATGCACGAGAAAAAAAGAGAGATATGAGAGGGGAAGGAGAATAACTAAAAGAAGGATAAAATCAAAGAGAGAGAAAGTCGCGTGAAGAAGAAGATGATGTCGCAAAATAATATAAGTTAGAAGAGAAAAGTACCACCACCGAGGGAGAGAGAAAATTTGGGTGGTGGTCAGAAAATATAGAAAAAGGAAGACATTAAAGCAAACAATATATGTTAGAGAAGAAGAGTACCACTATCGGCGAAAGAAGAAAATTGGGGTTATGGTCATGCTAGAAGAAGATGTCGAAAAAGATAGAGAAGATGCTAGAAAAGATAGAAGAAGAAAGATAGTAAAACTATTAGAGTATATTATATTATTAGATATTATAGGATTATGATTCGGTTACCTAGATTAGTTAGGGTTTAGTTACCTAGTCAAACTCTATTACCTCGCATTATTCATCTATATATATTCCATGTAAATCAACCCATAACATAACGGGGGTTTCTATTATATTACGTATTATTATTTATCTCTTTCTCCTATTTTATTCTTACTATATGGTATCAGAGCACCAGGTTTTTTAACCTAGCCGCCTTTCTTCTCCATGGCGGTGACCACCCAATTTTCTCCCTCCCCTGGTGGTGGTACTGTTAATATCTTTCTTTTTCTATCAGATCCATGAATACCACCCAATTTTCTCCCTCCCCCGGTGGTTCTCTATCTTTTCCGTTCTCTTTCTCCATGGCCTAAAACCTAGCCGCCGCTCTCTTCTTCTCCATGGCCGACGACCACCAAACCAATTCTCTCCCTCCCGGTGGTGGTACTCTTCTCTTTATATTTATTTTCTATCAGATCCATGAACACCACCCAATTTTTCCCTCCCCGGTGGTGGTAACTTATATTATTTTCCGACATATTATTCTTCTTAGTCGGTTAATCTAATTTTTCTCTCTTTAATCTCTATCTTCTTTTAATTATTATTCTTCCCTCTCTCATCTCTTCTCTCTATCTCGATAAAAAATGAAAAAAAAAAGTTGCTTATTTTTCTCTCACCCGTTATTATTATTATTATTATTATTATTATTATTATTATTATTATTATCAATTGGACAGATATTTCCTTCCACAGAGGAATTCACTAGCGTTGTGTTTCGCGGTTTCTGTCCAGTCTTCGCTTTTGAAGTTTATTCGTTCCGACTGAGGGAGCGTGTTAGCAAGTGATTGTTCTGTCTTTACGTTCGTCACGTTTCGACTACGGGGGCGTATTAGAGTATATTATATTATTAGATATTATAGGATATTAGGATTCTATTATGATTCGGTTACCTAGATTAGTTAGGGTTTAGTTACCTAGTCAAACTCTATTACCTCGCATTATTTCTCTATATATATTCCATGTAAATCAACTCATAACATAACGGGGGTTTCTATTATATTACGTATTATTATTTATCTCTTTCTCTTATTTTATTCTTACTATATGGTATTAGAGCACCAGGTTTTTTAACCTAGCCGCCTTTCTTCTCCATGGCGGTGAAAACCTAGCCGTCTTTCTTCTCCATGGCGGTGACCACCCAATTTGCTCCCTCCCCCGGTGGTGGTACTGTTAATATCTTTCTTTTTCTATCAGACCCATGAATACAACCCAATTTTCTCCCTCCCCCGGTGGTTCTCTATCTTTTCCGTTCTCTTTCTCCATGGCCTAAAACCTAGCTGCCGCTCTCTTCTTCTCCATGGCCGACGACCACCAAACCAATTCTCTCCCTCCCGGTGGTGGTACTCTTCTCTTTATATTTATTTTCTATCAGATCCATGAACACCACCCAATTTTTCCCTCCCCCGGTGGTTGTAACTTATATTATTTTCCGACATATTCTTCTTCTTAGTCGGTTAATCTAATTTTTCTCTCTTTAATCTCTATCTTCTTTTAATTATTATTCTTCCCTCTCTCATCTCTTCTCTCTATCTCGATAAAAAAAGAAAAAGAAAAGTTGCTTATTTTTCTCTCACCCGTTATTATTATTATTATTATTATTATTATTATTATTATTATTATTATTATTATCAATTGGACAGATATTTCCACAGAGGAATTCACTAGCGTTGTGTTTCGCGGTTTCTGTCCAGTCTTCGCTTTTTAGCAAGTGATTGTTCAGTCTTCATGTTCGTCACGTTTCGACTGTTCTGTCTTTACGTTCGTCACGTTTCGACTACGGGGGCGTATTAGAGTATATTATATTATTAGATATTATAGGATATTAGGATTCTATTATGATTCGGTTACCTAGATTAGTTAGGGTTTAGTTACCTAGTCAAACTCTATTACCTCGCATTATTTCTCTATATATATTCCATGTAAATCAACTCATAACATAACGGGGGTTTCTATTATATTACGTATTATTATTTATCTCTTTCTCTATTTTATTCTTACTATATGGTATTAGAGCACCAGGTTTTTTAACCTAGCCGCCTTTCTTCTCATGCGATGAAAACTAGCGTCTTTCTTCTCATGGCGTGACCACCCAATTTGCTCCCTCCCC